TGGGGAATGGAAGGATTTATATTCCTTGCAGACAGTGGTCATTTGCATTCTTTTAGAGAGTCGTTGAGGCTACTTGGAGGTTTATTTGTGTCCTCAAGGTCACCTGAGTGGTTCAAACCCTTTCAGCAGTTCCAAGAAGGCACCACACCCATTTGCACCACTCAGGTGGCTTTGAGGACACAGATAAACCTCCAAGTGGCCTCAACGACTTTCTAAAAGAATGCAAATGACCAGCTGCCTGCAAGGAATATAAATCCTTCCATTCCCCACCATCCAGTCAGAGCTGAAGACGCTTCTTGGATAAGAAGCGAAATATCTTCAAAGAAAAAACAAGAAAGTCCAGTTGCCTCTTGAAAAAGCACATTTGGGACAACCATGACCTGGATGACTGAAAATCTCCATAGACAGTTTGTGCCTATATATTCCTCCCTGCGTAGCTGTAAGGATGTTGGCTCTGAATGTGAGTAGTTCTATGAAGTTGGGCTTAACTGTTTATTACAGGTACTCCTCAACTGAACAACCACAACTGGGATCACAATTTCCTTTGCTAAGCAAGGGACTTGTTAAGTGAGTTGTGCCTGATATTATGACCTTGCCACGGTTGTTAAGTGAACCTCTGCAGTTAAGTGAATCATGCAGTCATTAAACAAATCCACCTTCCCCCGTAGACTTTATTTGTAAGAAGTCTGGGAAAGTTGCAAACAATGATCACGGATCCCAGAACACTGCAGCCGTTATAAATACATGCCAGTTGCCAACTGCCAATAGACAGCTGTTCTCTTATTATTTCCTTGCCTATATTTTGATATGCACCTGTTCTACCTTTCTCAGTGCTGCTTTTGATAGGTTGGATTCTTTCTTTCTTTTTGCGTAAAAACATACAAAGAAGGAATGGAGCGTTCTGCTTTCTACCTGCTGCCTGTCACCTTCTTTCCATCTGCTTCCATTAGTGGATTTATTGTTTCCTTGACTTTCTTCTTGTTCTTTACATATTGAAAGAAGCGTTGGCTTTTTTTGTTGTTGTTGTTAATTTTGGAATTAGTTGCCAGTCTTAGCTCATTCTGGGCCTGCTTGATCTCCCACTCCCTGTAGGGTTTGTTTCCCAGTTTGTGTCAGAGTAGTTAAAGTCTTCCATTACTACAGTGGTTTGTTTCCTGCACAGTTCAGCTAACTAATTAGCAAACAGTTCATCTATTTCCTCTGGTTGGTTGGGTGGCCAAGCAACCAGAAGAAATAGGATACTCACTCACAGCAAAGTCGTTTCTTTTTCCTCTATTTCCTCAAATACTTTCAAGAAGGATTTCACAAATAGAAATAGAAACAGAAATAGAAATAATAGAAATAGAAATAGAATTCTTTATTGACCAAGTGTGATCGGACACACAAGGAATTTATCTCCCGAGCATAAGCTCACAGTGTGCATATAAACAGCAAGTAATTGTGTATTTCTGTGGAAGTGTAATAATTTACCTATAATGCAATCGCCTCATGTGAAATCTTAAAGATAAATGTGTTTTGTCCTTTTCTCTGTTTCCTCCCACACTTTAACATGTTTTCTGTAATTTTAAAACACGTCCAAATGGTTTTTATTTTCTTTGTACAGCATGAATAACTTCGTAAGAAGCAGTATAAAATACATTAAAATCTAAGTTATTATATAAATCCGTGAAGTAAAGATAAAGATACCCTTGATTTGATTTTGCTATGAAGGGGTATCCAAAGGACATGGTTTATAGCTCTGGATTTGCTCAGTGCTCTTTGATCCACTACCTTATTTGCATTTTGCTTAGCTTTTTTAGAAGAGCAGCCAAGGTATAGCCATTTATTGTGGCTGTATTTCAGTAAACATAGTTTAATTATTTTAAAATCAATACCATCCCCTCCCCCCAACTCCTTAAACATAATACTTCTGCTTTTCATTCGTAAATATACACACCTTGTGTTTCTCTGTCTAGCAATCTCGCTGGAATAGGAATCTGAAGGTTTGGTGAAGATGATTCCCAGATGATTCAGTTCAACTCTTACTTAAATTCCGGTGGGTTGACAAACCGAGTTGAATTCCAGAAGCAAAGCCTTACGAGGCCTCCCAAAGAGGCACTTAATATAACCATAGTTGTGCTTTGATGGCCTTTGAAGGCAACTGAGAGCCTTGAACACACACAGAAGGTGGTGTAGCCCTACTCCTGGTGATGTCACAATCCATCACCGATACAGACATGGCTAATGCACTGATGATGCCTCTGGGGTTTCAGAGATTGATCTGCAAGCAAAGGGCACACTAGAGATGCTGCAATCGGATCATCTCTGCTTGATTTTTGGATTTTCCTGCCAGGGAACCTCTAGCAAAGAAACCTGGTGGAGAATAGGAGTAATGTGAAAATAAAGTCTTCAGCTCATGCTCAGCCAGGTGAAAGGTTGTATTCTAAATCTAAATATATAATGAAAGCACCATCCATCTTCGTGTTTTTCCTTCTTTGTACTTATGAATACGTACAGGCACCCCAAAAACCTCTCTCCCCAATGTAGGTTGCAAGTGCCTAAGAGTGTATGTTGTTAGTTGAGAAGTCATGTCCGACCCATCGCAACCCCATGGACAATGTTCCTCCAGGGCAGGCCTTCCTGTCCTCTACCATCTTCTGGAGTCCATTTAAGCTCACACCTATTGCTTCAGTGACTCCATCCAGCCACCTCATTCTCTGTCGTCCCCTTCTTCTATTGCCCTCAATCTTTCCTAGCATTAGGCTCTTCTCCAGTGAGTCCTTCCTTCTCATTAGGTGGCCAAAGTACTTGAGTTTCAATTTCAGGATCTAGCCTTCTAAAGAGCAGTCAGGATTGATCTCCTCTAGGACTGACTGGTTTGGTCGCCTTGCAGTCCAGGGGACTCGCAAGAGTCTTCTCCAGCACCATAGTTCAAAGGTCTCAATTCTTTTGCACTCAGCCTTTCTTAAGAGTGTATATTGTATTATATTTGGGTGTGTCCTGAAAAGGGACAATTACATGATCACAGTTGCCAACTTGACTTTTTTAAACCCCCTCCCCACTGCCCTTCCTATAATATATATTTCTGAACCCTACTGCTGGGGTTTGCTGAATATATACCTTATTCTTAGGTTATAATAGCAAACACAATTTTCATGTTCAGAGGGAAGTGGTGTAAGATATGAATATAGGAAGTTATTTCTGAGAGTCCTCCAAGAATGTTAAACATTGGCTCCACACAGGGGGAGAAATGGGCAAGTCATATTTAAAAAGACCTTTAAATAATAAAAGAATAATTAATAAATATTATGCAGTTTTCTTCTCCACAGGTAGGGAGATGTGACTACAACTGTGGGTTGAGCTCACGTTGCTTTTTTTGGTATCATATCCCCCTCTGCTGGACATTTGTTAATACTTATCTTGACTAAAATTACAGTCTATCGCAGTCAGCCAGATGTTTGAATTGGATTTGGCATTTTTTATCTGCCTATCAAGGCCTTTCCAAGGACTGGGATAAGCAGATGTTGATATTTTATGGTGTTAGAGCAGGGGTCTTCAAACTTGGCCCTTTTATGACTTGTGGACTTCAACACCCAGAATTCCTCAGCCAGACATGCTGGCTGAGGAATTCTGGGAGTTAAAGTCCACAAGTCATAAAAGGGCCAAGTTTGAAGACCCCTGCATTAGAGGTATCATGGCAGGATGCAAGCTGTTTCAAGTAAAGCTTATTATTATCATGGTCTGCAAATCCAGGATTCCTAGTCTGGAAAAATCAATATTGCAGCATAGCACAGCATTAGTATATTCAAATCAAAGCAACTGAATTGAATGGAACAACGCTCTGAACTCATAGGATTAAGAGTTTTGTGGCAAAATAGGATCCCAACACCAGGAGGGATTTCCAGGACCTTGAAATAAGAGGATAAAAGGCTTAGTGACATCACAGATCAGAGTATTTTTAAGACCTGCCATTTACCCCTCCCTAACTCTTTGTGCATTTTTTAATTCTGTTTGCAAATAGTCTGATTCTGTCCATGCTGCTTAAACCAATCATCTTGTTGCACCAGGTCAAAGTCAGAACTCCAAAAAAGTAGCATCCAAAATATGAAAAGTTCAGGACCTTAATAATATGTCCCACAGAATATAACAAGCCACAGCACAAATTTAGGCACGTGAAGAAAAACAGGTATGCCAGCAGAAAGGTAGAATGTAATATACTCAGGATCAAGAACAACATGAGTGGCACAAAGACCTCAACTATCTCATTAAAAAGTGTGAGTCAAGCAGGGGTATCCATAGTCAAAAAGATTAAGAAGATGGTGTATGTCACCCAGATTCCCTTCTTCAGATGGCTATAAAAATCAAATAAATAAATAAATAAAAAATAAGAAGTACAATTGAAGCTTTGACTGCTTTTATATGCAACTTTTGGACTTTTTCTGGTTCCTCCATAGGCCCGGCATCCATAAGACAATGGAGGAAATAGGGTGTGATTTGAGGCCCATAGTGCAATGTCTTAGGCTTTTACTTACACACACACACACACACACACACACACACACAAACATATCATGGACATTGCTGCTCAATACAACTTATGAGGAAAAGAGAAAAGGGGAAAATCTTTTTGCATGATAAAATTATAGAATTCTTTATTTATGAATCCACTGTATTTTTCAGCTGCCCTGTAACAGTTGCTTTCTGAGTAGATTACATGGATTAGAAATAAAACATACAGAGTGCACTAGACTCATATACCTGCTGCATTTAAAACTTTCAAAGCTATCCAGTAGCTTTTGACTGATCAAACTTGCAATAAATAAATAAATGCTGCTCTATGTAGAGCTTTGGCCTGACCCAGCATCCTCTGAGGTTAACATCCCAATGCAGTGTGTGCCCTTTATTTTTAATATGATACACATAACAAATATGGTACTATGTCCAGCCAGGAATAAATAAATGCAGAAAGCGCTTCTAGCTAGATTCTTTGTATTATACACATGCATTTTCATTTGGCTGTTTTATAAATAAAAATCAAACGTGAGATCACATTTTCCCATCTTCTGCTTGTACACTAAATCAAATTTTTCATTCATCGAGACAGTGAAGATATCTTTCCACAGCCCAATTCGTCCTGAAAGGTAGAAAAAAAAAGAAGGGAACAGAGGGAGGGGAAAATATGCTGATTATTAATAATAAGATGTAGAAGACCTTTCAGGAAAATAAAAACCTGCCATAAATCAGCCTGCAGAATCTTTTGGCCACTTTAAGTCTTGAAAGTGAAATCCCCAGTCCTGCAACAGCAAAAACAAGTCCAAAGGGATGGTTTGCCGTCAGGAGTGTGGGAAGTATACCTTTAACAATCAAAGAATTGGACGTAAAACTTCATACGATCCAGTTCTATCTAAAATGTGAAGACCTGGTTGTTCTGCACCACAACCAGGCACATTGCCTTCACCATCTCTCCATCAATCCTGTCTCAGCATATTCCTCATCTATCATGGTTGAGCTTCCATCTCCCCTGCTTGTTGATATCTCTGAAAACCATGGAAGGGGAGGGCAAAAAAAAAAGGCAAGGTGGGTGGTCCAACTATAGGATTGATGCCCTGCCCCCTTTTCACGCCACTTTTTTGACCCTCCTCCTCCAGAAACAATACTGCTCCAAGCTAGAAGGCTGCATCTTAGTCTTCTGGTTAAGATCAAGCACTGGGTCTGTGTACAATTAAAACAAGAGTTGTTATTACAGCTGCCAACTCCAGGGACGTTTGAAATGCACTGAACTTGTGGAACACTATGGCGATGGCCTTGACGCCATTATGTAAACATCGCCTTAGCCCTGGAAGTGAGGAGACAGTGAGGAAGAAACCAAAGGTCCCTTGATTTTCTTGGATATAAGATGAATAAGAGAAACTGTTATTAGGTTTTCAAGATCCAATTGAATAACAACAAGATCCTTGAACAATGAAGCCGTGTTCCAGTGGTTCTTGTTGGCTTCCTGTCTAGCGTGTCTCAAAGGGTGAACTTCTTGAGAAGCAACCAAGAAGTTGAAAATCAGTGGGCCTGGAGGTAAGTAGCAAGACACTTGTTCCCCTCTTTGCATTTTTTTTTTTTGCTACCTGCTCTTAAGCTCATTAAGGTAAATATAAACCATTTCAAACCACACATGATGTGCAGATATCACAGCAGAGCTTGGATTTGATTTGCCACTTACAGTCCCGAAACGTTAGCTCCCATTGCAATACGATGCAAATACAGTATACGATTCGACTTTCTGATAGCCATTTTGGACAGCTGGTCAAAGAGACACCCACCTGGGTTCATTCATGATTTGATTCATGAAACTGGTTTGGGAGGTTGAGAGGGAAGGAAGGTGAGCTAACCAAGAGCCAGCAACTGAGAGTGAACTTCTGGGCAAAGATCAATAAGCTAAAAGGAAAACAAATAAAAATGAACAAAATGAAGCAAAATAAGCAAGAAAATGTACATTATGATAAACTAAATTAAATTAAGGTAAATTAAAAAATTAAACGGTCCATAGTTTTTTTTTAAATCATGAAAATACATTTAAAGAAAAAGCAAGAAAAACACCTGGGTGTTCAGGATGCATTTGTAAAAAAGAAAAAAAAATAATTACAAGTGTGAGAAAGATGAACAAAATTAAACAAGAAGCAAAAGTGTACACAAAAAGCAGGCAATGTGCAAATGCAATAGATCTGAATACTCGGGGGGGGGGGAGATCTTTTTTATATGGCATTCATTTTGAGGTTAATTTGCTCAAGACCAAATGAAGGAGAACTAAAACAATTCCATATTTTGGTGAACTTTGGTTCTGAGGGGAAAGAAGCAGAGCTATGGCAGGGGAAGCGTCCAAAAAAGTCAAGGGAATGATCATTTCTGTGGGATCAAAGTTCTGCCCCCTTTTATATGTCCATTGCTCCCAGACAGACATTCCTGGAACCATGATTACTCCTGCTGCACACCATCACAAGGATTATTTCTGGTTACCTGGTGTTACAGACGTTAGTGGGAAAAACAAACAAGTATTACAGATGCACAAACTTCTTTTCCTCTCAAAGCAGCTGTTTCAAGTTTCCACTTTTATGAAAGAGTTCCTGCATTCTGGGAAAATTCTGAGATCAAAACAGCTCAATGTGAGTTTAAACAATTCAAGGTCGAAGCATTTCAAATTTGCAATCTTTTGTGAAGAAATAAATAAATTGCACTCGTATCAGGAGCATCGAGATGCTTTACTGGGTTGAAAGGATTAGCTCAGTGGTTCTCAACCTTTTTAATGCCGTGACCCCAACCGGTCGTAAGTCGAGGACTAAACCGGTCGTAAGTCGAGGACTAAACCGGTCGTAAGTCGAGGACTACCCAACCGGTTGTAAGTCGAGGACTTTCCCTGCCCGGGAGCGCCGCGCATGCGTGGTTCCGCCCCCTGCGCCGGCCGAGGCGTATCTGGCAAGCGGCAGAGACGGAGCAGGCCGACCACCAGCTGGCCCAGCCCAAGGGAGGTAAGGCACCTGCGGGAAAAGGGGGAAAAAATGGCGGACAAAAAAAATGGCGGACAGCCTTGCTTGGCCACCCCCATGAAATGGTCAATCGACCCCAAATGGGGTCCCGACCCACAGGTTGAGAACCACTGGATTAGCTGGTGACATCAACATTGCCCAGGGGACAGACGCCAGTTAGGAGCTTCCTTCATGTCCCCATCAAGGAGCTGGAGTGAAGGATGGGAGCTCAACCCCGCCTCAAGGCCGCCCTCGGGTCTCAAACATGGGCTTGCTAACCTCCAACCCAGCGTCCTAACTATTCGAGCCACCATGCTTCTGAGCACCAATAAATAAGTAACCATGATAGCGAGGTCTCTGGCACAAACTAGCTGTGTCAGTGTGAGGAAGAAGGTATGTGTCAGCCATTAGAAAATCATAAATTTAGCCCAGAAAAAAAAAACCAGGAAAAGGTGAGAAAGAAATCAAGATAAACGCACTTTGATATAAAAAGGAGGGAGGAGAATGCTATCAGGCTTTCAAGATTCTGTTATTACACCCTATATGAGGGGTAGGCAACCTTGGCTCTTTTATGACTTGTGGACTTCAACTCCCAGAATTCCTGAGCCAGCCATGCTGAGGGGAAAGGGAGAGGTTTCCATGCTGGCTCAGGAATTCTGGGAGTTGAAGTCCACGAATCATAAAGCGGCCTAGGCCTAGGCCAGAGGTAGGCAACCTTGGCTCTTTTATGACTCGTGGACTTCAACTCCCAGAATTCCTGAGCCAGCCATGCTGAGGGGAAAGGGAGAGGTTTCCAAGCTGAGCCATGCTGGCTCAGGAATTCTGGGAGTTGAAGTCCACGAGTCATAAAAGAGCCAAGGTTGCCTACCCCTGCCCTATATCAAGGTCTGCAGGCAGTCCTTGACATACAATCATAGTTGGGATAGGATTTCCAATCATAATTCCTTACTGTTGAAAGCCAAGGCACCATTGTGACTGGACCCAATTTTATATTTTTTTATGGTGGCGGTTAAGCGAATCCACTGTGGTTAAGTGAATTCCTATGACAATAAAAGGACCTATATATTTAAGACTTAGTTTTTTACAAGGTATAATTTGTCCACAAAATACTTGAACCTTAAAATACCTTGTAAAAAAAACTAGGTCCTAAATTTATAGGTCCTTTTACTGTCATAAGAATCATCAATCCGGTCACTGTCAAATTGCAATTGCCAAAGGGGTTTTAACCGGACTTATCCAATGTTTCATTGTAGCTTATTAAAGCCGGTTCAAGGTTCAAGAATGAGGCTGATCGAGAAACTACCTCCCCTTCCAATTCTGGGTAAGGGGAAAGGGCATTATGAGAGTGACAGTGAAGGGGAGGATGGCCCAATGGCAAGTGGTCCTATTTCCTTGATGACTACCAGAGTCACAGTAAGACACACATACAAACACATCCTTCCAAATGGGCCTTTCTTTACTAGAAGCAAATAACATTAAAAAAAAATCGTGGTCACATTTTAAAACAGCCATAAAACAGCTTTATGAATCATAAAGCACCCCGTTGAGGAACCATCATAATTTCAAAGAGCTGTTAAGCAAATGGTTGTAAGTTGAGGACTATCTTTTTCATTATGGCATCTTTTTCCTGATCTAGCCTACCTCAAACACTGACACAGTAGCACTTCAGTGGATTTTATACAGGTTGTCCTCAACTTACAACAGTTCATTTAGTGACTGTTCAAAGTTACAACGGTACTGGAAAAAAGCAACTTAGAACCGTTTTTCACAATTACGATCTTTGCAACATTCCCATGATCACGTGATCAAAGTTCAGATGCTTGGCAACTGCTTTCTATTTAGGACCGTTGCTTTGTCCCGGGATCATGTGATCACCTTTTAGGATCTTCTGACAAGCAAAGTCAGTGGGGAAACCAGGTTCACTTAACCACTGGATTACTAATTTATCAACTGCAGTGATTCACTTAATAACTGTGGCAAGAAATGGGGCAAAACTCACTTAACAAATGTCTCACTTAACAACCACAATTTTGGGCTCCATTGTGGTCGTAAGTTGAGGACTGCCTGTACATCAAAGTCCTCTGATCAGTGGTGGGATTCAAATATGTGAACAACTGGTTCTCTGTGTGGATGCCGCTTCCGGAAGTCCAGTCTGGGCCTGGGCAACAAAAAATTAGCTACCGGTTCTGCCGAAGTGGTGCAAACCAGTTGAATCCCATCACTGCCTCTGATCACATGGTAAGAGAAGGACCAGTTTAAAAGTTTACAAGCAGAAGAGAAGTGCAAATTTGCCAAGCACCATCCAGACATCCATGAGTTCGCTATGGTCCTCTAACAAAACAGCAGACTTCTCAGTCTTGGCAACTTAAGACTTCAATTCCCAGAATTCCCTAACAAGTCCACACATCTTAAAGTTGCCAAAATTAAGAAATCCTGGCTTAGATGCTTATGGTCCCCTGTCCCTATGTCTTTAAGCCAGCGTTTCCCAACCTCAGCAGCTTTTAGATTTATTGAGTTTTGGGACTTGAAGTCATGAAGTTGCCAAAACTGGGAAGAAAACAAATTCATACATTCAGGGTTCTAAATTATGATTCTTCTAGTGATAACAACTGCATGTTTTAAATCCCTCAGAATTAAACAAAAACAAGTCTAAGACCCACAAGATTTGGAGGCCCCCTGAATGATAGCTTACCACGATCAGCAAATGCACCTTTCCCCCCATCTACCCTCTGATTTTTTATTTTATTTTTTAGCTTCAGACTGAACCACCATGGTTCAGATTCATAGCCCAATTCTTCGTCTTCAAAATGCTCTAACCAATTAATGCTGAAAAAGGACAGCTACTACACGTTCCACTCTGGAAGGGTCATAAAAGTGGGTTACCATTAAACCCATTTCACCTGTGCAAATGCTTGCAAAGTGTCTCACACCTACCCCTGCCCACTGCAAGGGCATCAGCATTGCAGCACTGATCAATGAGCTGGTGACAATGTTCAACCATTGATTCCAACTGTGCTTTGTCGTAGGCGATGCCCAAGAACCTCGCTAGTTGTTCAACTAGGGTTGCAAGATCCTGTGGAAGAAGAGGATATTGACTAGCAGAGATTAGTCAAAAAGAAGACAGTTCAGAAAATACATTCCGGTTACCAGTAATTGCTCCCCCCTCCCCAAAAAATGTTGATAGTGGCTTAGGAATAGCAGCTTCTTATATATGTTAAATCATCCCTTATTTTAGGTGGAACAGTAGGGAAAAATGGAATAGGCCATTGAATCACCCCGAGTTCAATTCCCCAAAGAGCACTGGGGCTTGAATATGGCACTTGTCTCCAAGGTTTTAAAATAGCTTGGTCATTTTCTGAGTTCATTAGGGAAACTGCAGAATCAAGACCAAAGCCACCATATTGCCATAATATGCGAAGGGGTCTTCTGAATAATTGGCAGCAGCAAGCGTTTGAAGACAGAGATATGTGCCAAACTTCCTGAAATGTCCTAATTATGAGTTGTGCTATTTTAATCTCAGAAAGGGTTATTATGCTGCTGGAGTTGCAGCATTGGAAGTTCTCATCCCAACTTTGTCAGATGTGATCTCAAAATGGAAGGTCCCAACAGCAAGACTGAGGCTAAGAAGGTCCCTGTGTTTACTGAGAAACGCTTCCACGGAAGTTGGAATGGGGCTGCTTCACCTGCATCCACTTTTGGAATTTTCACTGCTGGTACATCAACATGGACATCAAACATGAAAATCGAAATGTAGCTACAACTGCTATAAAGCCCCATTACTTTGTCAATGCTCCTCAAATTGCAATGTCATTGATTTATGTGCAAGTCAACTATGTGCAAATCCAGTAGAGGAGCAAACAATTGATCTTATTCCTCAAATAAATACAAACATCTGGTTGTTCAACTCTGGGGGTTAAAAATAGCATGCCATTTCATTGCAGAAGTAGAACTTGAACAATTTTTCTAAAAAAAACCCCACCCCATGTTCTTCTTGCTCCTTGCTCCTTCAGTGCCTCTGTGTAAATAGAATTTTAAATCTATTTTCTTCCATTTACTGCATTTTAGTTTTTGTAAAGCAACCAAAGGCATTTTCACAAATTGCAAGTAATCACCACAATAATGAATCAAAATAGCCATTCATAAAGAGCAGATTAAAATAGAAGCGAAGCATAATCTGTCCGAACAGCTGGACAAATCCTAAAAGCTAAAATCAAAATTAAAATTTTAGTGGGGGTTTTGTATGGGGTACTTTTAGAGCGGGCCTGTTATTTAATTTGATTTTAGAACAGAAACTCGTGTATATTTATCATGGTTTTATTATCGCCTGTTCACCGCCCTGATATATATATATATATATAAATAATAAAATAAAATAAAATAAAATAAAATAAAAAAATAAAATAAAATAAAATAAAATAAAATAATAAAATAAAATAAAATAATAAAATAAAATAATAAAATAAAATAAAATAAAATAAAATAAAATAAAATAAAATAAAATAAAATAAAATAAAATAATAAAATAAAATAAAATAAAATGAAGGAAATTGTGCCCTTAAAGTTTAAAACAGGAGGGGGAAAATTAGAAAATTATACAAACATCTGTTTTGTTAAAGTTATTAACTTATTTGTCTGATAGCCCAGGAACAAACGGCTGACCAAACTATGAAAATAATAAAACTTTGGATTGTAAGTGATATTAATTAACCAAGATTAAATTCCAAGAGGGGGAAACCCCTCACTCCTCACTCCCATCTCTGTCTCCTGTGAAGTTTGTGGTCTTACTTCAAAGGAACCAAGGGGGGGGGGTTGAAACTCCTCTTGTTTACAGGTTGGGGGAAAGTCTTTGATATGCTTGGATAATTACCTTGTGCATATCTTCATATTTGACAAAGAGCACATTGGAATCCATATGATGCTGCCAAAATTCCTGGACATGTTCAAACCATGAACCATAACCTACTATAGAGACAGAAAATACAATAGCTAGTACTCAAGATTATTATTTTTTTTAAAAAAAAAAATTGTTATTGGGCAAACATTCACTGAAATTAAAAAAAACACCTCATTATACTGAATTTACATTTTGTTCTCAAAATATGACTGGTTTATTCCTAACAAAAATCCGACCAAAGAAAATAACTCCAATTGGCCTTACTCCCACAATCACAGCACGGCAAACTTATCTTGTACCATTCCTGGATTTCCCAGGAGGGCATGGTATCGTGGGCATCACTGGGGTCAACTTTTCCCCCTTTCTAAAATTGCTCGATGGCAGGAAAAAAGTAGACTCCTTGAGACACAAAAAAAATCTGATTCCCCCAAACGTGACCTGGACTGGAGACCTCACCCTGGGGAAGAAAGTCTGAATGGTCTAAAGACCTTTAGAAGAGAAGTGGACCATTCAGACTTTCTTCCCCAGGATGAGTTCCTTAGTCCAGGTCAAGTTTGGGAGAAGCAGACTTTTTGTGCCTCAAGGAGTCTACTTTTTGCCCTGCCATCAAGCAAACAAACTGCTACCATTTGCAGTGGAGGAAGTGATTTGGAACAGGAGAGGACCTTTCCAGAGTCTTCCCTGCTCAGATCTATGTCTTGACCAGCAGAGATTCACAGGGAGGGAAGTTTTCCTGGATAACTGTTTCCTCATGAGGAAACAGTGGTTGCAGTCAAGCATTATGTTCTCAGGGGCATCTGAGGAAGGACTCAAAGTGTGTCAGATGTGGGCACAGTGCCACAATCAAAGCCTCCCCTTTTGTACATTACTGGATCATACAAAACCGCCAGGGTTTGATAGTGATTCAAAGCCTGCTGTCTCACAGATTTTGTCCTGCTCCAAGAAACAGATGGTCCTCGATTTATGACCATTTCTTCAACAATCAATGAAAATTATCACTTGAAGGACCAATCCTCACACTTACAGTGTCCCTTCGGCCATCTGATCGCAATCAGGACACTTGACAATTAGCTTGGAATTAGAACAGTTGCAGCGTCCTGATTCACATAATCACTATTTGCAACCTTCCTACCCAGCTTCTCACAGGCAAAGTCAATGGGAAAGCTGGCAGGGAAGATCACAGGTCATGATCACATGATGCCTTGCTTAGCAATCACAGCAAAAAGGTCGTAAAGTTGTGTGCAGTCACATGATGCCTCACTTAACAACCTCACAATGATTAATTTCTCGGTCCCAATTGTGGCTGCCTGTCAAGGATTCTCTGTACATCTAACCCTCTCCAAATGACTCAATGGGGCCTAGATGTGTCCATACCCAACCTGCAATTTGCCAGCCAACATTCCCTTTGGCTCTTGGAGCTGGAGAGGTCACCCTGCTAATTCAGAGCTCCTCGTGTCCTCAAAGCTCAGAGAACATCTCCCCTCATCTCTTAGATCAGGGGTAGGCAACCTCGGCTCTTTTATGACTCGTGGACTTCAACTCCCAGAATTCCTGAGCCAGCCATGCTGAGGGGAAAGGGAGAGGTTTCCATGCTGAGCCATGCTGGCTCAGGAATTCTGGGAGTTGAAGTCCACGAGTCATAAAAGAGCCGAGGTTGCCTACCCCTGCCTTAGATCAAGGCTGACTGGGGAATTCTAGGAGTTGAAGTACACATATCTTAAACGTTGCTGGGGTTGAGAGAGACTGCTTTAAGTGGCAAGTTAATGCCGCAAGCCACATGTCCTATGGTTCCTGCATGATGTAAAACAGAGAGAAAGATCCCGCCTTACAAAACAGATGGGAAATTCTTACACTTATCGTTCATAAACCGCCGACAGAACTCCTGAAACGTTCCTCTGTAGCTCATAGTTCGCAGGGAGCGATGAAACTGATAATAAGATACGACCAGGTCTTTGGGGTTACGAGCCATGTATATGATCTAGGGAGATGAAAAGCAATTCATTGGGCAGAATGCTCCCTCCGTCCCATCTCCCTAGGTCAGAACACCTGCAGAGGACAGGTAACACAGAGGACCAGTGAAGTCTACCTTGGATTCGCCACTATGCAGGTCAGAAGGCAAGAAGCGGTATGGCAGGTGGCTTTTGATCAGACGTGGAGATGTCAGTTCCTGTAATGTGCAGGGAAGAACATTAAGGCTCAGGGCTGACAAAGGCCAGCCTAATAAATGCTCAAATGTATTCCCTCCCCCCCCAATGGTGGGATTCAAATATGTGAACAACCGGTTTTCTGTGTGGATGCCACTTCCAGAAATCCATTCTGGGCCTGGGCAACAAAAAATTAACTACCAGTTCTTCCGAACTGGTGCGTACTGGCTGAATCCCACCACTATCCCCCCAAAAAAAACATAAAAAAGAGGTGAAAAGGAATTAACAAAAAGCCAATAGATTATGCTTTTTCTGTGTGTATCTGGGGAGCTGAAAGGTCTAATAAGCCAGTGTTTCTCAATCTTGGCAGCTTAGAGGAGTGGACTTCAACTCCCAGAATTCCTCAGCCAGCAGAGGTTGAAGTCCACAACTCATAAAGTTGTGAAGGATGGAAAACACTGGTCTAAAGTGTCAAGTTTCAGGGCAACCATGGCATCAGCACCTTGTTGGATTTCTGTCTATTTGCCACCCAGACATATCTCATTTTCCTCCTTCTGATCTTGCAGAACAGCTTGGAGCCAGGACTGAGTATCAACCCACGTAAAAGAGCTGCATACCAAAACAAGTGGGACTGTCTCAGTTCACTTAGCAGGAATACATTTGTACAAGTGTTTTGGATGAGGGTGCTGGGGGACATTTATTAAATCTGCATATGACACCAAGTGGAAAATTTGAAACTGGGCAGGAAAAGAGTAAAACAGCAATATATTTGAAAGGCATCTGGGTATCCTTCTCAACCACAAGTTAAGCATGAGCCAGCAGTGTGATGCATTCATTAAAAAAGCAAGGGCTATTTTGGGGTGCGTTAATTGCAGCAGAGTCCTGGAAGTAAATGTTCCTCTCAACTCTATCCTGGTCAGTTTCCCACTTGGAATTCAAGGTTTAAAGTCCAATAATGTAATCGAGAAATTGGAATTTAGAGGAGGGTTACAAAGATGGTGGAAGATCTGGAAATCAAGCCGTCGGAGGAAAGGTTGAAGGATCTTGGCATATTTTGCTTTCAAAATAGACAATTGAGGAGAGATATGGAAGCACTCTTCAAGGACTTGAAGGGTTTTGTAGAGAAAAAGATGCAAAGGATCAGTACATAATCAGTGGGTCCAAGAATCACTTGGAAGGAGGTTCAGGTTTGATCTTCTTGACTGTACAACTATCAGGTAGCAGAAGTTGCTGCTGTGTGATCTGTGTGACCTCATAGATCACTTACATATTTATGGCTTAAATGGCAAGAATTAATCCTCTGGAGAGATGTTAATCTCCCTTTCTGATTTAGGCTGACAATGCTGAATTGTATTCACCCAAAAGACAACACTGTTGGACAGGACTGGGTTCATTTGTAGGAAAATATGACTCACTGTAAGCCTTTTTATTCATTTTCTAGTAAAGTGAAAGGTCAAAGGTTTCAAAGAAAAATAACCCCTCCATTTTCATAAGAAAAGGTTTTGTCTTTTATGGGAATAATCTGGATTCATTAATGTTTGCAATCTTGTTCTCTGAAAAAGTGAGTCTCCTTATCTTAGTTAGAAAGAGTTTACATTTAGAGTTTCCAGACCTAACATCAATGCCAAACTGAAACATTACATGACATTTACCCAATCTATTAATTTATTAAATTTTGGTCCATGAAGTTGAAAAACCTCAGTGCCACACGTGTCCTTAAACTTTGCCCACTTTGAACATAATCATTGGCAACTGAGCCCAGCCTAAAACAAGCTTTCCTTTTGCTAAATCAGTGGCAGATCTGGGCTGACTGGATCACATTTGGTTAATCCTTGGAAGGGAGACCAACCAGGAAATCCCAGAGTTATAGACTAAAAAGAGAAGTTGAAAAACACTTTGGGAAGAGACAATGTCAAATTGCTTCCATGTTGCTGTCAAGAAGATCATAGAGGTCATGAGGTCATCACTGAGATAATTTCAAAGAAACCTTTCTCTTTAAAAAGCAACTCTATCGTCACAATAGGCTGGAAAATCCATGGATCTCCAGGGGAAGAAGTTATTGTTTAACAGGTAAGTCCATCACACTTTTACACCTCCAGAATTTTGACTTCATGTCCCATTGATCTGAAGCACAGCAATTGAAATGAAAAAGTCGCTGGTCACAAGTTTTACAGTTTCACAAAACATGAAAGACAATGAAAGAGCTAATGCTGACCTGCATTCCTATTTGATTGCAACTTAGGCCCATAAAATAATAGGAAATTATTTTATAGGCCTAAATTGCAATCAAATAGGAATGCAGGTCAGCAGTAGTCCTGCAGTAGGAAATGGACAGCCATTTGTCTGAAATGATATAGGGTTTCCTGCCTGAGCAGGGGGTTGGACTAGATGACCTCCAAGATCCCTTCCAACTTTATTATTATTATTATTATTTTATAGGAATAGGAAAAGATGGCCTGTCAAATTTTAAATTTTGAGGCATAGACACTTTCTTTTTATACATTACATATTTGCAAAATCTGTTGTTTTTTTTAATCACTCAGATTTTTTTAATCGCTCAGTGTTCTGGTTCTCTCTGCAACAGGTAAAAGTATCTTTAGAATAGAATCTTTAGTCAGAGTCTCCTGCATTTAATGAAATATATGTGATGTTATGTACCATCTGAAAGCATTAAAACCATTAAAAACATTCATAATGATGAATTATTCCAATACATCAAGGAATCAAACAGGTCTTGAAAACAAAAGTGCAGCCAAGCATCAACAAAATAATTTCAAAAGCTTAACACAGATCTGAGAATTCATCTGTACCTTGATAATGTCCAGACCAGGTTGAGGATATTCTAAGACTGGAAGCTGCTCATCTATGTTCATTAATCCAATTTCATCAGGATCTGCTCCTTGGCTCACAAGATACACCACTTCCTGCAATAAACTTGTGCCTGCAAATTATTGAGAAAAATAATAAGACAAAATACAGCTTTCCAAGAAAGAGAAAGTTCTCTACTATCAATAGATAGTACACTATCTTCAGATCTTCTTGCATCATACTGCAATGTATACTTCCCCAACCTAATCATCTCCAGATGTGATGAACTTCAAAACTTTTTTGTGCCTAGAGTGGACGGCTATATAAATTCTTTAAATGAAAGCCATAATTTCATCTAGAGTAGTCTTTGGAATTATAGGGAAAACTCCAAAAGATAACAAAATAACAGAGTTGGAAGGGACTTTGGAGGTCTTCTAGTCCAATCCCCTACTCAAACAGGAAACCCTGTACCATTTCAGACCAATGATTATCCAATCTCTTCTTTAAAATCTCCAGTGTTGGACTATCAACAACTTCTGGAGGCAAGTCATTCCACTGAGTAATTGTTCTAACTGTTAGGAAATTTCTCCTTAGTTCTAGTTTAACAACCGGGTTACTAACTTAACAACTGCAGTGATTAGCTTAACAATTGTGGAAGAAATGTCCTAAAATGGGGCAAAACTCACTTAACAAGTGTCTCATTTAACAACAGAAATTTTGGGCTCAATTACAGTCGTAAGTCGAGGACTATCTGTACTCAGTGGCAGAGAGGGCAGAAGCTGCCTTCTTGGGTTGTTTTTTTTTGTTCTTAGCATGACATGCTGCCATCACTCTTGTCCTTCCTTTTTAATTTCTTTATGCGTTCTGTTTGAATAAAGACTTCCAATTCATTTTTCTTGGTATGTTCAGTTTGAATAGAGAATTTAATGGGAGTTTTCCTGTTCACCATTGGAACTCGCATTTTATCTTGTGTGGGAGTGTCTGGAGTTTGAGTGGCTTGGTTTGCCTGCAGGGTCTTCATTTTTTCCTGAAGTAATCCCACCAGTAATCCAATCACATATAATTTGAGTCTTCTTTAGTTGGAACTACAAACATTGCACACACACTTTGTATATAGCAGTACTGTTACCTTCTTTCCCTGTAATAATAATAATAATAATAATAATAATAATAATAATAATAATAATAATAATAATAATAATAATAATAATAATAATAATAATAATAATAATAATAATAATAAAGTTGGAAGGGACCTTGGAGGTCATCTAGTCCAACCCCCTGCTCAGGCAAGAAACCCTACACCATTTCGGACAGATGGCTGTCCAGTCTCTTCTTTAAAACTTCCAGTGTTGGAGCATTCACCACTTCTGGAGGCAGGTTGTTCCACTGGTTAATTGTTCTCACTGTCAGGAAGTTTCTCCTTAGTTCTAGGTTGCTTCTCTCCTTGATTAGTTTCCATCCGTTGCTTCTTGTCCTGCCCTCAGGCGCTTTGGAGAATAGCTTGACTCCCTCTTCTTTGTGGCTGCCCCTGAGATATTGGAACACTGCTATTATGTCCCCCCTCGTCCTTCTCTTCGTTAAACTAGACATACCCAATTCCAGCAACCGTTCCTCATATGTTTTAGCCTCCAGTCCCCTAATCATCTTTGTTGCTCTTCTCTGTCTCAGCATCTTCTTCATATAAAAATTATTTGTACTGTAGTTTTTTTTATAACTCCATAGAGGTAGAAGTCTTTAATAAAAGGTAGATAACATATAAAATGACAGAAAAGAACATAAAAATACATATAAAAATCCCAAAAATATAAAACATATATGTGTATCTCACGTATGTCCTTCTGTATTAGAAATATATAAGAATAAAATAAAATAAAAAATAAAGATACACACCTATCCATACAAGTAAATTTATACTTTAAAATAACCCATATTATGATTTGTGTGGTTGGGGGTTTAGCACATGAAAAGTTTGTATCCTCAGGTTTAACTCAAGTAGTTTCAGCTTTATAAGCAACCGGAGAACCAACGAGAATTGCTCTAAATTTACACTAATGGCTGCAGTTTATAAAATAATTTTCTCTGAAGCTTGGAAGAAATCAAGTAGAAGCTTTTAGTACTGGCAGCAGGTCATAAATATTTCAAATGTGCAACTTTGGAAAGCAATAAAGATGCATCCAGCTGGTCTAATCTGGCTTTTGCATGCTATTGTAGCTTCTCTACTACATTCAATTAAATCTTTGCCAGAATCGGGAGAAATCCTTCATAGCAAAAATGACTGGATGGTAGAATAAACAGAGGTAAACAAACATATAGATGTGAAACTTCTGGGCCTTCAAGCCATCCTTTTTTTTTTCTGCTGGCCTATGTGACAATCTGTTTAGTCTTACAATGTACAATTGACTTCTCTAAGAATGAACTGGATCAGGGGTAGGCAACCTTGGCTCTTTTATGACTCGTGGACTTCAACTCCCAGAATTCCTGAGCCAGCCACGCTGAGGGGAAAGGGAGAGTTTCCAAGCTGAGCCATGCTGGCTCAAGAATTCTGGGAGTTGAAGTCCACGAATCATAAAAGAGCCAAGGTTGCCTACCCCTGAACTTCTCAGTCATAAGCTGTGATTTATAAGCTGCAATGCCTCAATGAACATATTAGGATTCCATGTGTTCTGAAAAATTAAACTTTTTGATCCTATAACCTTTTCAGGGTTTTGTACTTATTGGAGAAGGCTTATGTTTTAAAAATCCAATGGCTTTTAAAATATAAAAATATTTTTTAAAATATCAATGGCATTCTAATATACTTGACCATCTTCTGATGTTCTCCTGACAGGATGGACTCCATTTCACGTGACTTTCAGCCAATACGCTGATGATACTCAGCTGTACATCTCCACCCCGGGTCACCCCAACGATGCCCTTGACGTGATGGCCCGTTGCCTGGAGGCCGTACGGGTCTGGATGGGAAGGAACAGACTCAGACTCAACCCTTCCAAGACCGAGTGGCTGTGGCTGCCGGCGCCCCGGCATAGTCAGTTGGTTCCATCGCTGTCTATAGGGGGCG